CCGCCGGCCACAGCCACCCCGGCGGGCTGGGGAGCCCTGCGTTGGGGAGCCTCCGGCACTTTCTGCCTCCCTTTAACAGTCAGAAGAAGAACTTTCCTGTTTAAAGATTAAACGTTGTCTTTAAATATTAAATAGCAAAGCTCCTTGCTCTTGATTGCGTGGCTGCTGCTGGCAGGCGGCTCAGAATTGCCAATTTTAATTAAAAAACTTTGTTTTCCAACGCAGCCTAGCGATGGCTCCTCCTCCCAGCCGGGGCTGGCTGGCCTCTCCCCTGGCCTGCCTTCATCTCTGCCTCTCTGCCGGCATTTCCCTCTGCCTGCAGCAAAGTGACGGTCCCTGCCAGCCCTGAAGTGTGAGTCTGGGGCTGATCAATGCCCCTGGCACTTCCTTCCAAAACCCCAGGAAAAACAATTAAAACCCGATCGATACTGCAGGCAGCTTTGAATATGCATAAGTGCACACTTGACCTTCAGTGGTCAGGCCAACTGCCACCCGGGCTGCTTAGCTAGTTTGCTCAGGTATTGCTGCTGTACCGAATGACCTTGATTAGGAAAGCAAAACGCAATGCAAAGATGGGCCCCGTGCTGATCCTGGGGCCGGGGCACACGCCGACAGCTCCCTGCTGACGTGGCTGCTGTGGGGCTGGGGGAGGCAGGCTGGGGTTGGCACTAGAGCCCAGCTGTCAGGAGCTTTCCAGAGCTGTCCCCATGGCTTTCCCAGGATCTTGCCAGCCTCCCGCTGTGCTCCCTCGGTTGCTCCTGGCCAGGGTCCGAGGGATGTGTCTGGGCTGGGAAGGCAGCCTGCGATACGGTAGCTCAGAGCCTGCCTTGCCCCAGTGCAGGGACAGCCCTGCTCCCTTCCTGTCCCATGCATCCTCCCTCCAAAGTGTGCGGGGACACCCCTTCCCCAGGGATGCCCCCCACTGCCGGTGATCCCAGGCCTGGATCTGCTGGTGCTGAGCACGGGGACCTTCCTGCGCTTTGCCTGGGCTTGCTTTTTGGGACAGAGCCCAGGAGAGGGAGCCACACGTGGAGCCGCTGCTGCCATCACCCAGGGCCACCCAGTAGGTGGGTGGAGGGGTCCCATCCTGCACCCTGACCCCCCGGCTCCCCCCTGCCCCACGGCCAGCCAGCCTGCATCCCGGCCACAGCGATGAAGATACCAGAGCATGTTTGTTGAAGGCAAAGGAAACCTCCCCGTTGTGTACACAAAGTGTAATTTCAGTGAATTATGCATAGACTTAATTAGGAGTTTTAATTGCTAATCATCTCCCAACAGGATTAGCAATGCTGTCTATTAATTATCTGTGGAGCCCTCTGTTTTGCTAAGGCAGGAGTAACAAAGCAGCATGAATGGTTACGTAGGCCAGTAATAAATTAACTCCCCCAAGCCCCATAGCTCCCGGGGGGCTGCTGGCAGCGAGGGCTGCTGGCAGCGGGGGCTGCGTAGGGGCTGGCCCTGCCCGTGCCAGGCAGAGCAGCAGGTAGTGGAGGCAGAGGGACTGGCAGCAAGTCCCTGTGGCAGGCAGGTGGGTGGTGGGCTGGGGGGGGACCGCTCAGCTCCACTTGCCCAGTTCGGCCCCGTTCTCGCTGCAGAGAGCATCTCCCCCGGTGTGCCCAGCCCATGGAGGGTGTCAGCAATGCCCCACTGCGCCGTGGCCGCGGTTAGCGATGATCCCCGCTGTAGGAGGGAGACAGGGGCTGCTGGATTGACCTGATCTCATCTGGGGACAATGGCCCTCACGGCAGCAGAGATAGCGCCGGCATGAGCGACGCTAAGCCCACGCACCCTTCTTACTGCTCACAATGCAGCACTGAGCTTAATTCCTCAAGATGAAGAAGATACGTGGTTGTCAGGCTGTAATTACAGCCGTGCGTGTGACATGGAGGCCCGTCTGCTTTCACGTTTGTGTTGTCCAGTGGGTTTTTGTGCTGCTCGGGCTCCTGCCTGCCTCGCTCCTGCTGGGAGCCCTGCCGGGGGACGCAGCAGGGACGGAGCCGGCTCCCTCTGGCCAGGCTGTGGGCTCTGTGCAGTGGGGTGAGCAGTGCTGGCTCCCGGTGATGGAGAGTCCCAAGGCAGCTGGGGCTCTGGGGATGGAAAGGAGAGGGGAGGCTGGGAGGGCTGTGCTTGCCAGAGGGGAAGGGGGCTGCCGGCCCCCTGCAGACTCCTGCTGACCCCATCCTTGGGGGGGATGATGTTGGAGCAACCCAGGGACATGTGGGATGAGCTCACAGCTGCCAGCTCGCCCCAGCATGGCAAAGGTGGACTCAGTTGATGCTGATCTGGCACAGTGGCCAGCAAACCTCGTCAGGGTTGTCACCTGTACGAGGACAGGCCCTGGACACCTCTTCTCTGAGGAGCACCAGGTGGGACAGGCCAGGGTGAGGGTGCTTTGTGCAGGTGGCTCCAGGAGAGCTGCTGCAAGGGCGATGCACGGGTCTTCACTGAATGCGGCAAACACAGACCCACGCCAGCCCCGGGAGCAGCCAGGCCTGGGCGAGTACAAAACATGTCTGCACATGGGCTGTGCACTGGTCTGACTCTCTGCTTCTCTCTTCCAGGCGTACAGCTTTGCCATGGGGAGTTGGCCAAAGAACGGGCTCTTAGACATGAACAAAGGACTGAACCTACAGCACATAGGGAGGCCTCACAGCGGGATAGGTGAGTGATGCTGCCCTGCACCCTTCCCATCCCCACGGCTGCTGCTACGGGTGTGCGGGACATGCCTCAGCTCCGAGAGCTGGTCCAGGCTGGGGTGCTGAGAGCCAGCCAAAGGGCTGTGGGGTCTCTGGCTGGTGGAAGGGATGAAGATGTGCCAGGACAGGATTGGCACGCAGGATGAGCTCTTGGTCCCTGGCACATCCCAGCGTGGCAAACACACCTGCCTGTCCCTCTGGCCAGGGAGCTGCTCCCCTCCTCAGCTGCTCTGGCAATGCTTGGGCTGGGGGTGGATGTGGGCAGCACCAGGGCTCACACGGTGCCTGGAGCACAGGGTGGGGGTCCGCAGGCTGGGCGGGATGCTCTCCCTGTTGGGCCAGTCCTCCAGCTGCTCTGGATGCTGTGTTCGTCCTTGGAAAGGAGGCTCTGCCAAGCAGTGCAGCCTCGGGAGCTGGCTGGAAACGTGCTGCAGAGTGAAGATGCATGGCCCCAGCTGGTGAACGGAACCATCGTCCCGTTTGCTCACACGTGTGATGAGCTTCATGGTCCTGCAGCCTGCTCCAAGGTAAACAACTGAGACTACCGTGCACAGTGGCAGAGCTCCATGTTTCCCCTAGCTCCTCCACACCGGGGATCAAAGTGATATGAGGAGGGAGACCTGGCCCAGGACACTGAGGCCATATATCTGCCTGCTGCCTAACACTGGGGGCGCAGAGCTGGAGCAGCAGCAGGCTGCAGTATGGGCTGGAGCTCAGATTTACTGCACTGTAGGCAGAGCTGTAAACTCAGGGCTGCATCGCTCTTGCCTGTCTTGTTTCTACGTGGGGCGTTGGATCACCTCTTGGAGACCAGCAGTCAGGTGTTCCCTCTGCCTCCCAGCCCTTCATCCACAGTGACTTGTGAGCATTAAAGTTTGCAAGGAGGTAAGATTTACTTGGAAAAGTCACCAGCTACCTGGGCCTTGAGGAGCCTGTTTAATATTGTTTCACGACTCTAACCATTAAACTCTCCAATCAATCCAAGTTAAGGAGATGAATTATTTAAAGCTCACCAGCTTTTAATTAGCAAGCTCCTTTTGAACTATGGATCTGGTTGCATTATTGACGGAGGTAGCATTAAAATTTGCTTCCTTGCCTGGGAGCAGATTTGCCTTGCTTGTGTGCCATGTTGGGGGGATCACAGGGAAGGAACGGGGACTGCAGGCATTGTGTGTGCATGTCCTGCTCTGGGGGCTTGGGCTTTTCCTAGGGTCTCCTGGGGGATGCAGGGTTGGTTTGTGCCTCGTCTTTCCTCATTTTATTTATGGCAAGAGCTCTCTGTTGCTGTCATCTCTTACTCTGACAAAGCGTCTCCAGCTCTGGAGTATCATCTGTCTGCCATTGGTTTCTGCCCGTATTTATCTCAGTGCTGTTTTCTTGCACAGGTGTCTCTACCTGATGGAGTTCAGAGGGATGCTGTTCGTGTCCCTCCCCACTCCAGTCCTTTAGGAGGGTTTTGCTTCTTCATTTCTGCCAAACTTCCTCCATGGGGGAGCGTTCCCGGCTCCCCTCAGTACAGGGTGAGCCATGGGCGGATTGCACAGAGAAGCAGCGTGTCAAGGCCCAGCAGCCAGGCTCCCTTCTTGCAGCGCTCCGTCCCAGTGGCAGACCTGCCTTTCACATGCTGTTGGGAAGGGGGTCTACGTGGGTGCTGTGAAGGATGCCAGGCCAGCAGTGTGATGGTCTCCATCTCCCTGGCACCGCCAACGGTGCACATGTGCCCTGTGTGTTGCAGCCTGCTGGCTGCTCCATTTGGCCTGGGTCCAGAGCAGCTCTGCCCTGGGCGTCTGTGATCCTCTGCCCACCTGCAGAGGCGGGAGACCACGACAC